AACCAAATGAGCGCAAGGGTAAAACTAATCAATCGAAACAATAAAAATTTAGATTGCTCAAAATTAAGGTTAAAAATAACTTATAGACATAACATTTTAAAAAATTTATAAATTATTTAATAAATTTTAATTTTTTATTTCATTCGTCAAATTCTTATAATTTTATTTTAAATCAAATAGACTTTTATCATTAACGGTTTATTAACTATCATTAATGCATATGCCACTTGTCATTTATATTCGCTTGACATTGACGCGAAAATTGAAAATGTCACATAATTATGTTATTATGTTACATTATCACTTATTATGATATGTCAGTATATCATATTAACGTTATGTGACGACTATTACTCATTATTATCTCTTAATTTTTAATTATTTTTATTATTATATGTATAAAACTTAATATATATATATATAGTTTGATTAATCTTTTAATTACCCTTTAACTACCTCTTATATAAAATTCTAGATTCACTATTTGAGATAAAGTAAACAATATGTTTCACTTTATGTTATTCAATGTGCATGGAATTAATGCATTTATGAACATGTTTGGTCTTGATGTTCAATGAGTTTAATAATGCATGGACATTGCATTGCATTGCATTAAACTCACACCATATGGTCCATTCCTTCCGATTCCTTCTATCTTTGGAATGACAAAAGGAAAAGACATAAACATCAAAGCTCCACGCTTGGTATGAGTAGAGAGAATCTTAGTACTCCCCTAAACTCATCACTTTAGCCAGCTCACGCTTATCATAGTTTTCAAAGTTTAAGTTCGCCCATGTTAGAAACACACACTTGATGGATCAAAATTAAGTTCGCCACTTCATGGTTTAGACGTTGTAATCATATTTTAATTCGTTAATTTCAAAATTTAAATCCGAAAACTTTGTAAATAAAATTATAAAATTTAATCATTTAGATCTCTTTTTTCTTTACTTTTTGTTTGTAAACTTTGTTCCCACGCCAACTTTGCCATTCTTTAATTGCATGAACAGTGGAAAAGAATTACAGCACCTTTTTTGTTTTGCTGTTTTAATTAATTTGTTAATTAACGTGTTAAACCAGCTTTGATAATTAATCATGATTATTATATAGGCCTATTAGGAAACATTTGTTTTTTTAATGGCTTCCTGATGTGGAGACATGCGGGTCCCAGGATTCCGATCAAGGGTCAAGGAAAGATATGGAAAGATCCGGGCGGTCTATCAAAATCCTTGACAATGTTTGATCCCTTGGGTCTCCCTAAATGGCCGACCACTTAGGCACTTGCCATCTCCATGCCAACCAGTACGTGAAAAACACATCATACAGCCAGGAATAGGATTATAAATTTAAAAGTAAATATATTGAAATTGAATCCATAAAGAGATAAAATAATTTAAGAAAATTCTGAATCATTTAAAATAATTTTAATAATTTTTTATTTTTTTAAAAAAATTATTTGAACTGACGATTTATTAATCAAATTATCACGTATCATTTTATGTCACTTGATATAATATGATATACTAACATATCATAATGATGGTGATGTGACATAATAATATAATTATGTGATATAAAAATAATAAATTATGTTTTGATTAATATTAATTAATTAACTATTAATTATAAGTGTCTTTGGGACTTGAAATAAAACTATATAGATTTTGATTAAATGTAATAAAAAAACAATTTATTTAAAATTTATTAATTTGAAGTTTTTTTAAAATTACGCTCATCAATAAATTATTTTTATGTTAAAATGGAGAATCTCTCTTTTTTTTTTTGGGGTTAAAGAAAAAGTTGTCTTGTCAAACTATGCATAATTGACATCATGGCCCTGTATATTTTGTTTCCCAACTCATATTCCTCTTAAGTAAGAAGCTGGATGAATCTTATATATATATAAAAAAAGTCTGATGTTCAAGATGGACGTGAAGATCATAAGCAGCAGCAACCAAATGGGCCTCACCCCTATTTCAATGCATCACAAATAGTTGTGCATGCATAATCGATTCATATTCCATCATTATACATGATGAATTTTAATGTTTTTTATTCTTTTCATAAGGCCAGAGCCTAGAGGTGGTGCCAACTGCCAAGAATGAGGGACTGCATGGAAAAAGTAATGCTAGCAGGCAGTAGCAATCAAGAGTGTAATGATTTGGACTAATAGCTGAAGCCGAAACATATGACAGTCGATTTTGTTGAAATTTGAATGGTCAGTGCAGTGGTGAAACCAGCACATAAAACTAAGGACGAAGAAGCCATGTAAATCCAGCTCTGGACTCATCTTTCGACTTTTTCCAAACCCATAGCCCATTTTATGTGGGTCTGATCAGGCTTTCACTATTAGGCTTAACCCATCCAAATGTTTTAGATGGGTTTAGATGGGTTTAACTATCAACGTGGAGCTCTTGTTTTTCTATGGGGCCATAACGATCTTGTTCAACCCAATCCGATTGTGCTTTCTTTTTAACATGTGTATACATGTATCGTATGTATACGTATTGTTGGATTAAATGGTACTAAAGGGAAAGTCAAAATACATACATATTGAAATGAAGATGGGAGATGTAGGATTACAAGATTAGAATGATTTGAAGGTTTTGTACAAATTGAAACCTCCAAAATTAAACAGTTTGGGATATTTTCCTTAAAGTGATACCAGGGTTTTATTGGAGAAATTAAGAATAGTGGTACATTTCAAGAGACATTTCACTTGGCCAAACCAAACAAAGAAAAAGAAAAGCTACTATGCAATGACCTCTCTTATCATTGTCAATACATACAATCAGAGAGATTTGTCTTGTATTCTAGTGGGATTCCATAATGATATCTTTCCTATGAAATCAAGGGATAAGTTCATACGACAATGAGCTCCTTTCGTCCTCCTGTTCCTGCTCACTAGCTTATTAAGAGGTAGCTTTCTTCTAAGCTGGAACGCTTTATTTCTGTCGTCTTCTTAGCCACAAACAAGCAAGGACATTGATAACCTTCTTTTTTACACCCCCTCCCTTTTTTGTTCTCAAAATTATTTTTGGCATGGTCCTCCTGGCTCGGGACAGTTGGAGAGAACTATAGCAGAAGGGAAGGAGTGGACCACGCCTCAAAGACTTTATACATCATCTTTTTTTTTATGAAACTTGGGGGTGACTACCATCAGACACAACATGGAATCATGGCTACAACTGTAAAGTTCACTAACTATGAAAAACCCTTTTGTAGTTATGCAGAAGCAGCCTACTCCAACTCTGATTTGTCTTAGATTTTCAAGCAATATTATAATAAGACTAGTTCAAAAGTCGATTATCCGTGCCTTCGGGCTTTTAGATTCAGATGAAAACAAAAATTTTATTGAAAGGAGAACATCAAAATCCAAGGAATACTCCAAATAAATGAACTTTTGATAAAAACTTAAATCTCCAATGCATGCAAAGCCGACCTCTTTCTATCAATGCAATATTTTTAATATTCAGTCCCCATGTCTCTCCCTTTTTTTTTCTGCTTTGTTATTTGGATATATCTTTTCAAGAGAAATCTAGTGTGGGATATTATTCTTTTCATAAAGTAAAACAATTTACATTCTATAAAGCGTCTCCATGCACGTGTACCGTAGGGGATCAAATATTGATGCTATATATGTCTATATATATATATATATATATATATTCTCAAGAAATCATCTCGATAACTACTTTGACAAGACTCAATGTCACGTTTCGGAATAACTTTTTCTGTCCAAAATCAAGATTAGTTTTCTAGAAGTGATCATATATATACTTCTTTCTAAGTGAAATGCTTCAAATAAATCTTCTTCCCTGATTTTCCAGAGTCAACAATATCAGTATAGATAGAAATATGGTACCCCTTTTCCATATGTTTTTCACTTTCGTTTAATTTTTCATTACCCATTTCAAGCTTGATGTTTAATCTGATTCCTTCTAATTGGGTTGGTCAGTGGCGCATTAACTCCTTTCATTTGCTTTTATACTAATAGGAAGAAAGATTATTGCAACTAGGACTTTTCTTTTGTCACTTTGAACTGAATTCTTAATAAAGAAGTAGCTTTATTCGTGGACTTGAGCTTTAAAAAACGCATGCAAAACAAGTTGAAAGCATAGGGTAAAAATAAAAAAAACCAGCATTCTTTTCTTCTTTCTTAGCTGTGCTGATCCTAAAAGGGGTAGAATACGTCCGTGCATGACACGATTCCCAAAGAACGTATAGGATGCTCTGCATGGGATTAAACGACGAAACCTTCTCTCATTGGTCGGTTGCATCTTACAAGAAATCATGATCTTATAATTGAACTCTAAAGCTGCTGCGGGACCCTTCCAGTTTTAACTTTGCTCTGCTTTTGATGACGGAGGGAGGGAAGGGAGGGAGATGGAAAAAAAAAAAAACAAAAGGAAAAGGAAAGAAAGAAAAAGGAGGAGAGAAATGGAGAAAGAAACGGAGTAGATTTGATTTGCATGGAGCCACTTTCGAACAATCCCCGAGGCTAAACAAACAAGGAAAACCATATGGTTAAGGAAAAGGAAATGGGGAGAAAAAGCTAGCAAAATTGGAGAGAGTTTTTTCATCTTTAGTTTGAAAAGGAGAATCTGATACCTAATTCCAAGGCTAATTGGTTATACCTTTTTGATTTGTCATCTAAATGGTTTTGACAAAGATTTGACCAAATTTTTCTTGCAAGTTGGAAGTCAAATTATCTCCGACTGAAACATCAATCCCACTTGAGATTATATATCTCAGATATGACACGAATTGAACGGTCCATATTGATTGGCTTATAGCGCGCGACGACAGGGACATGAATCGAAAGTCTAGAAGGTATTGACAGCTTAGTTTCTACAGTAATCAGGGTCTTGCTTTCTAATCTTAGGAGCTTGTTAGTCAAATCATGCGCTGGTTGAAATATTCCAAGTCTTTTGTTGTTGGCTTTTCTTCTTATGAGCAAAAAATTAAAGAAAACTTGAGATCTAATTTGATCAAGAGATAGATATATATATATATATATATATATATATTTTGGCTTTACAGTGATATAATCCAACATGGATTGTCAACCAACAGGAAACGGAAGTGACCCACCAATTAATGGGGAAACATTAAAGATGACAAATTTGATATACCAAACAAAAAATTACAAATTGCTACTAATTAAGATTGTGATGGATCCTTTTAAAAATTTTCTGTCCAGGTGCAAGGATGGCCATGGGATCAAAACTGGCCTTCCTCTCCACAAATCTTGTCCATTGATTCCCAAAATGTCGTTTCCAATCCTCTTTTGACTTGTAGTGAGGGAGGTATAGCTTGAAACCCAAGCCCTTTTTGATGCACCACTGAACAATCTCGTGGTTTTGTGCAACCAAAGTTTCAACCGCGGGGCCCTTGGGAACGAACCGGAGCAACGCCACGATGTAGAAGATTTCGCCTCCCGGTAGCGCACCGGACGTTCGATTATCCCACCTGAAAGCAACCATGTTTGTATTAGAACAACAAATACTACTCCCTCTATCCATTTTATCCATAAAGCTGAAAGCAGCACCAATGATTCTCTCTCTCTCTGTCTGCTTTTATTCATATTTTAATAAAATGAAAAACATTCGTATATCCTAACATTATTACGTCTCCCTCCTCTAAAAGGAAGCAACAACCATGCTTATTATGCCCTATTTTGGAACATAAGTTTGAGCTAAAAACTATACCCTAGAAAGCAAAGACAAGAGTTCATGTCATAAGTCACAATCTTATCCTATATATAATTGAGGAAACTGGGACAAAAGTATCCCAGTTTTCCTTTTCTGTCATTTGTAGAATTATTTCCCTTTTCAGTACAATTTCGAAGCGGCATAACAAACATGGTTGCTTGGCTGAAATTATACTGATGGTTTTAACTGGTCTGAAAGCAAACACCAGTAATAAATCTGAGTAGGTAAGGTAAGGATGCAAAGCATGCCAATGACAATTGACAGCCCAGAATAGGGATAATTTCGTCCAAGAGAAAAAAATCGTCGCTGGAGCCCAGACAAATTATGGTGTCATTATACCTTGGTTGGCGAATAAATGTCTTTGTCGTTTCTCAAATGGCAAAGACTGACTTTGGAAGTTACCTCACTTGAAATTTCTTTTCCATATAAAGACTTACCCCCCTTTATGACCAATATACCCCACGTATTTCTCCCAATTTCCATAAAATATCCATAGACGGCAAATCCCTGTCCCTCTTCTAATGTCTACTCCTTACTTCGTTGCAATTTGGGCCGAAAATAAATGGATATAAGAAAAGGGATATTATAAGGGTGGGCCCCAGCCCTCTCTTGTCCCACCAAGTACTTTCTCTACGTTTGCTTATACGTTAACACACCACCGCTGCACCAAACACCTAACATGACGTAAACTGTAACACAAATCTTCGAGTACGGATATGCTACGGTACGGTTGAGCTCATAGTAAGATTGTACGACAACCGTCAATACGTTTTAAAAGATTAGTTACTAATTGATGTTATATGCCATGTAATCTCGTGGATCCCAATGGTTGACTCTTTTAGACGCAGTAGAAATTATTTGACCCTCCTCCCAAAAAACAGAAAAAATCTTAACCACCCGATTTAAAATCGCTTCAGCCAAAGAGTCAGCAAATCAGTGTGAAAGGGCCAGGTGATTGAGGTTTGGGGGGTCGTGATTCAATGTTGTCGATGACTAAGGGAAAAAAAAGGCAGTGGGTCCCTCGACCCACATGATAACACGTGTCGAGTTTCTAAGCTCCTGGTGAAAACCTCGTCATCTCACACGTGACAGACATGCAGTTTTGACATTTAATGAGGGGTCCACAAAATAAGTTGGGGAGGAGAAATACTCACTTGCTTCGCAAAAGAGGGTAGATCAGCATGGGCCCACCGATTCCATCTTTCAACATCCTTTTAAATACCGTCCGATCAAACTCAACGATGTCCGATTTGGACACGAACAGGTTCAGCCAAGGGTGAGGGCTGTCCCAAATGCCGTTGGCTTTCGCGTGTTCCTCCGCTCGTTTCACACGCAATAAGAACTCCACGTAGCTGACGTCCAGCTGAAACTTCAACCCCCTCACGAATCCTAGCCGTCCAAGAAGTCTTCTTTCGGCCTGCACAGGGAATTGAGTAAAATAAAGAGGGAGTCAGGGGCAATCACGCCATTTGGACGGAGCAAAGAGACAACGCCATTCGTGAATTACAGATTCCAGAAGATGATGGGCTTTTTGGCCATTTCTGGAACTGTGGGGACCAAAACGTCAGCCAAAATCTCAATGATCAGCGGGCTACGACATTTGCGCTGCAACGTTACTATTTTAGCCCTGACAAGTTGCTGATTTCACGAAAGCGACCCATCTAGTAAAATACGACTGAGGGATCATCAGAGTCCCATTCTCGTAATTAAACCCAATAGAATGGGCATTTTCAACAACTTTTTTGTGTCAGAAAATCCAATGGAAGATACATTATACTGTATGGTCAGTTTCAACAATGAAACTATATAATAACAATAAATAATTCAGACATTATTATTATCCTATTTTATTTTATTTTTATAATAAAAATTGATAGCATTAGGGAATTTTTTAGGTTCTTGTTGTGAATGATGGAGGACGGGAATAAGCCGTCCTCCGTCGCTGAGGGTTGTACACGTGTAAGCAAGCTCCGAGTTTTCTTTGACTTTTTTTCACTGTCCGGCGGGAACATGGTTGATGATAGGACCCCACTCTTTTTGTTCGTGGTCAACAGCTTTATAAGGGACCCACTTAGCAGGCACCTAGGTCAAAACTTAGTCATCAGTGTATCACAAGCTATGTACCCCACAGTTTCCAATTCCGGCGAAAGACTCCAGTTTTTGGCCCTTTTATCATTCATCGACGGTTACCAATCAAGGTTCTATCTTGTTATGGTAATATATGACGCAGGAAATTATTAAGCCCCCTCCCCCACCTCAAAAAAAAGTGTTGGTGAAATTTTTTTAAAAAAAAAAGAGAAAAGATTGTTACCGTGTCTACAATTGAAGGGTGGTCACCGTTGCGGTAATGGAAAGCCACTTCGAGGCAATAGAGGACGGAGCCAGCGGCTTGAGGGATGTGAGCCGGGTCGAACTCGTGGTCCGGGTCCAATGGCACAGATGGCCAGCCATTGACCGGGTCATCATTGTTGGCGAATACGAATCCTTCGACGTAATCAAACGACTCGCCTTCTTTCTGAGTCACCAGAAACTCAGCATCCCGAGTAAAATCCTCAAACTCAGAATACACCACCCTTATCCATCTTACCTAATCACACAAATAAAAAAAAAAAAGCAAAACCACCTTAAAACAACCGAAATTACGTAGCGTAAACGTGTCACTCATGCACTTAAAAATGTAGAAATTCATAATATCAACAACAAAAAGAACAAAAGCGAAAATTTGTGACAAAGTACACCCACCATGTCCGGAGCAGGCTGTAACTTAATCCTAGCTCTGGTAATAATACCGAACTGACCAAGCCCACCAAGGACTCCAAAAAAGAGTTCGGGGTTTTGGGTTTCGGAGCAAACCGATATTTCTCCTTTCCCAGTTACAACTTCCAATTCCGTCACGTTCGACGTCTGGGGACCATAACGGAAGGCTTGTCCACTAACGCCTGCGTTAGATAGAGTCCCACCCACCGTTAGGCTCAAGTAGTCGGTCCACGACCTTGGAGCCAAACCGAACCTCGAAACGCACCGTGTCAAGACGTCTTCCCATAATGCCCCGCCGGAGACATCGATATAAGGCGAGCCATTTACTGTCAAGAACTTGAAATGGTTTTCCTCCGTGGAACGCATGTCTATCACGAGTCCCCCTTCGGCCATCGCCTGACCGTTGATAGAGTGGCCGTTACCCCTAGCCGCAACCGTCAGATGGGTAGTCAGCGACGCGGCCTTAACGACTCGGGCTATATCTTCGGCTCCAGACGGTTTAATTAGAGCCAGCGGCCTAACCGAATAAAGACCGCCGAAGTCTTTAACGGCTATGCCGGTTTTACCACCGCTCTCGATGCTGCCTTGTAGGTCGAGGGATTTACGTATGCTGGAAACGTCGTCATCGGGTTTCGACTCGGCGTCGTTTTCGTGTACGAATCGTTCCAAGCAAGCTATCATCTTCGTTGGAAATGGGAATTTCGCCGGTAACCGTTTAGATTTTTTTCCTGTTTCAGTTTCTGTCTGTTTCTCCTCACTCTCGTCTCTTTTTTTTTTTTTCCTTTTGGTAAAACGAAAGGGAGGGTAGTTGTTTAATTTAGAGCACTATAGTCTACAAATCTAAGCCTATCTTGGAAATAGTTTGGAGGTTAAGGGGGGATGAGGGTCCTTAAATAGTGCTGAATTTGGGAAGGAGAAGAGATTGATGACGTCAGCTTGGGTTCAATGCCCTTGTTGACGTTATGATCCTATTGACATACTCTGTCTGCCACTTTCGTTTAATTTATTGGAAAAAAAAATAATACTACTAAAAAAGTTGGCCTTTTATTGTTTCACTCTTTTTTGCCATTGGAATTTTTTGGACAATAACTTTCAGTCTTTTTTTTTTATTGAAATTATTTGGATTTCTCAAAAATGTTTCCCTTTGGGATGTAGCAATCTTATTTCATGCAAGTTACTAGTACTGTTTTTTCATTTAGATTTTGTACTTATAACGTTTTGTATAATTGCATTTGCCCTCATTAGAGACTATAAACTTGTAGATTAAGGCATTATCTCTATATACGCTTGATTTCATTATAAATTAATCATTAGCCGATAGGATGTAATTATCCTTTACTTTATTTCATTAAAAAATAAGTAGTTACACTTTGTTATCTCCTTTTTTTTATTACTAAAGTTACCATTATAAGGTTTTTCTTTCCTGAATGAAGGTTAAGGTTTACGATAAAAAAGAGATCTTCTTGATATCATATAGATTAAGATCCAATCAATTTTAATACTTATAAAGAAAACTTATTTTACAAAAAATATGCTAGAATTGGGATTATCTTGTTTTTTTAAAACATAAAGCTAGGGAGAGATATCAATATTGTCTAATTCTTATCAAATTGAGTTGTTTTTGTTTATAGAAAAAATAGTATGAAATTAGAAGATTATATCAATAGTCAATTCTTTACCCTTTTTTAACTAATACATTTAATACATGGCTCTTCATCCTTAATATACAGAGTTCCTAATTAATAATTAAACCCATAAATATTAATGGTATCTATTCGGTATGGGGATTTATTAATCTAATTACTCCGAAGCATTCATACTAAATTTGCTAAGTTGGATTTGTTGGTTACTTTGCCGAAAATTTTAATTATTGTTAATCTAAAATGTATTCAAACATTGCAATAGAGATAAATTCTTTTTTTTTTTTTAAGTCAACTGTGACTTTCCTAATTATTCAGTTTTTACATTAATTTATCTTTTATCTGAACAGAAACCATTTTTCTTTTTTCCCTTAGAAAAAGAGATAATCACACGACAATATATTAATACTTAATTGATGAATAACTCTTTGAGAATGTCATCCTCCTCCTTAGGTTGCTTACAATGTCACGTTTTCTAAATAAAAATGAAAGTGTGACATAAATTCTATAATAGTGATACAAATATAAATTGATGGCAATGAGGGGAAGTCAACCTATTAATCAATTGTAGCCAAAAAAAAAATAAAATTGAAGGACAAATAGGTGGTTACTAGTTAGATGGTAGAGGTTTTTGAAGTATACTAAATATTCTGATATAAAAGACTCCACACATTTCACCTGGACAAATAATTCACACAACACACATATATATATTCTTTATTAATTTAAGGTTGAAGCTTTAATGAGTCAACAGATGCACCCTTGCCATTATAAGTCAATGAATTTTATATAGTTGTGGCAAACCAAACAAGAAAAATAATTAAAAACATATAGTTAATTAAAATGAGTGCAACATTTGAACTACTAAAAGAGTACATGTAGACTGCAAGGCGGAGTAGTGGATAGAAAGAAAGAAAAAAAAAAGAAAAGAAAAGGAGGCAAAAGAGCATACAACAAGATTCATGAAACCCATTGAAGGATTTTAGATTAGTTTATAGTTTAGTCAAATAATTTTTTAGTTATGGAAATTCAACGCCAATGTTTTAAGGAGTGGGTTCGTGAAGCATGAGCTTATACATAGTAGAAGAAGATAGAAGAAGTGGGAGAAGCGGGGGAGGTGGGAGAGTTGAAGTAATGGAAGTCAAATGAATATATTTATTATGGTCTAACACTAAATTGTCTTCATATTTAATAGAAAAGCCGGCTAGCAAAATCTCTCTTTGAATCTATCTTTCTGATTATTTTAATTTAAGCCGGCTACATATATCAATCCTAATTTCTTATATATATATATATACAAGAATATTAACTAACTATTAAGTGACCCGAAAGCATAACTGAAAGGTTCCTTTGGCTATTTTAATTAATTTTTATTTTTTTTTGGAATATTTGGGTTATTAAATATTTGTGGTGAGACAATTGATTAAGCATCTGGCTGATTTGATCTCTATCTGAGCTTAGCTTTCTGTCTCTGAGGATATTGTTACGATTGGGAGTGTAAGCAAATCTCTGAATCAAAAGGGGGGCCAGGAGGCAGAGCATTTAATTCATCCTGACCCGTAATGTTCTGTTTTTATGATGATAGAAACAACCAGGTTTTCCCATCAACTTGTATTTGTATGGCTACTCTTTATCTTATAAGTTAAATAAAAGGCAGAGAGATATGAGAATCCGAGGCAATGCATCCCTCCTTAAAAAGCACAAAACAAATATCCGAAAATTCCAAAGATTTGGATAGCTTTTTGCGACGACAAACCCATCTTAACTAGGAATACAGAATCACTTGTTGTTTTACAGCTAAGTATGTTATAGCTTCTTAACTTGCCATGTCCGTGTGATGATTTTATTTTATAATTATTTTTGAATTTAAAATAATAAATGTTCTTACCTAATTTAATTTGAATTTGTTTTAAACGTGTGAAATGTAAAAAAGTAAATTATCAAATGTATTAAATTTAATCTTTCAATATCAAACTAAAAATTTTGTATTAGTCAACAGACATATCATATTTATTTAGAACATATACGCGTTAAAAATACAAATTACTTTTATTTTTGACCAAAGTTTTATATTTTTATATATAAAGATTAGTTTAGTGAAAGAAAGCTTTCTTCTTCTTTTTAATTTGTTCTTTTGGGGGGTAAAGTTGTTAGCATGTATATACCTAATAAGATATACATATATATATATATATATATATATATAAATTGCTTTACATCCAAGATAAAGGGTATTTTAGTCCCTAAAAAAAAAGTGATTGCTTTGTCAATTCAGATAGGATCATCTTTGCATTTAAGTATTTGGCAAGTAGGGGAGAAGGATGACAAATTTTGCCTCCATTACTTGTTTGCTTTGTCTTTAATGGCTTTTAATTTTTTTTTCCCACATTTTTTTCCTTTCTAAAGAGAGAAGAGGGGGGACGTATTGTTCCCAAACGACAAGGACTATGCTCTCATTTTTATCACGCTTAAATTTTTTCAGTTCATTTCTTTTTGAAGTTGGGTGGTGGTGGAGGCGGGACCATTGCACAAAATGGCAATGCCCCCTTTTTCCAATACGAAAATAATTAAGTTTGGTTCTTTAATTTGGTTGGTTCATATTAATTTAAGTGCGTGGTTTGCTTCTTTCTTTCCCTTTTTAACTTATTTTCCACACAAGTTCCATATAATTTTTTAGGTATCAATCACACAAACCCATTTTTTGCCTTTACTTTTTGGTCTTCGTTTGTGACATACACGTAAAGTCCTAGTTTAGGTTATAAATTCTAAGATGGCTATGGTTTCGTATGCCGATTTCTTATGTATTGCTGCTTTTTAATTAAATGCAAATAGGCAACATAGCAAGTCTTTTACGTAAAAAATCTTTTGACTCAGATATTATAACCAAAATTTTCTTCACATTTAATTTCTTCTTTTTGAAAAATCATTGGTATGTATATAAAAAGTTAAACTATTATTTTGTTCTTAGTATCACGGAGAGACTAAAATAAAATAAAATAATCGATTGGATCCGTTACTATTATCTTATACTAAGTTTGCTGTGTGTAAAGATTTAAAAGTAACTTAGAATAATTTTTACCCTATATCAAATTGATATATGTATGATTGAGAGTATTATATAGGCTTAAGTCAATCTTAGAATATAAATTTTAAGGGTAAAATAAGAGATATAGAAACATTTATCAACCATCTCATGAGATTAATAATATTCCTCTTATCTCTTTTTGAGAGGATTGAGTTATGTATCTTGTATTAGAAGGATGATTAATTCTCTTTGTAATCTAATATTTTCCTTTTAAGCGCACACCAAACATGAAATAAGATGATCAATGTTAATTTATATTTACCCTTTTGCATCATGAACCCAACCTTTTTTTTTCTTTGATAATACATAAATTCAACCTTAAAGAAAAATTCCTAAAGGAAATTAGGCCCACGGCTCTTTCTTTCTGTTTTTTTTTTTTTGGTAAAATAAGGTTGTTGGAATATAATTATTGAATCTTAAATCTCATTAATTCTCACCACTTTTAAGGAATTATTTATAATTAAGCCAAAAGGCAATGTAGTTGGCATGAACCTTGTTGATGAACTTGGAAGTTTTATCGAGTGATTGTCGTGATTAATCATGCTTTTGTACACCATAAATCCAACATGAACCTTAGTTACTTAAGTAAATAACAATTAAGTCACTCTCATGGTAGCCTTTATACTACAACAGAACCTCCCTTTTGAAACTCTCTTAGGCAAAAGCAAACGCTCAACACTTTTTATTTCAATGTGACCATCTACATCTTGAACAGGTAACTGTCACGAACAAACCCATTATTAAAATCGAAGGTAATCTTAAGTCTTGATTTGCTTTGAGAGCCCACACCCAAACTTGTCTGTTTCCCTTTTGCCCTTGAAATATTTTTTCCTTGGGGTTAATCTTGTGCCGGATTTGCAATGGATTTTGTGATTTCAATTGACAGTGTCACTTAGCATTCCAACAAGCGTGTTTTCTGCCTTGCCCTGTCTTCCGCATTACATTATCGACTGCTTCTTCTGATTGAGACTTGTTCGAAGGCGGCACTTTTTTAGTTGCTTATCATGCTTCATCTAGGACCGCAGTTCCTTCATTTTGATGTTGACTTGTTCAAATAAAGGGTTCTAAATTACATTAACTACGTAACTTATCTGCAACTTACCTCTTCATATCGTCAGATTATTCCAAGAAGCTTATGTTTTATAAATTTTTTGTTAACAATATTTGGGGTTACTGAAGATTTTA